ATGTATACACTCATTAATTATATGTCAGCATGCTGCATGATTTAGCTTGTTGACTGAATTTAATGGAGTTTTAGTGTTTGTGGATGGATGGGAGATGAGGAGGGTTATGAACCTTAAGTCATTTTAATACTATGCATGTTGTTATTCCTCATACATTTAATAAATCACCCTCAGCTAACAAGAAACATATCAGTTGTCTCACTCTCCCTGTTTTATATAATCAGACTGAGATATTGTACCACAATCTCCTGGGAGTGTTATATTGGTTTTGTTCCTAGATCCCAATACTTGGGCCATTCAGTGTCTTTAGTATATAATCGACTGAGGGACAACCTTGTGGCAGCCATAGACATCACTGGCTTTAATTTTTATCCTCATGCTAATGGATTGTGTGCACTATAAAAAGAGTGAATCCAGTTCCTATAGCAGTATATGATTGTGGTTACTACTCGTAGAGTACATACTGTATATTCATAACAACGCCATACGTCGAGTCTATACTCTCTAGGTTTGGAAACCTGACTTCACCTTACTCAGATGCCAGATAGATGTAGGTTCTTGATCCCGGGTGAGTTAGTGACAAAATTGTTGAATGTTTAAGACATGGAACAGATTCATACTCTAATGTAACGCCTTCTTTTACTTAATTGATTGGCTGCTAAAGGGAGTCTTACTGTATAGTACAACATATTGCACTACTTTAAATAAAATAGAAAGGTTAAAAATTATTTAATTATTTAGTGATTTGTTATTCTGAGTACTAAATGCTGTTCCTTTAATGGAGAATTTAGTCAAAATTAACAATAAGCAGGTTTGGTTTTGTGGTTTTGCTGATTCTTTTAATTATTGTAAATACCATACGCATTAACCTCTGAGGTTAAATACGCATTATTATTATATTCATCGGGAAGCACTGAACCCATAGGGGTCACACAGCATCTGGAGAATGGGAAGTAATTGGGTTTGACCAAAGGAAGGGAAGGGTATCTCCAATTCTTTAGACTAAGAGTCCTTGACCAGTATCAAAGCTTGCTCTGCCAAGAGTACACACACACACACACACACACACACACACACACACACACTCATCTCCAGCCGTGCCACATGTATTACTCACTGAAGATCATGTTCTTAATGGCCAACAGTGCTGTGCATCACCTTGTGGGCAACTGCTGCACTCATAATTTAACATCAAAGTTCCTTTTACAGGACCTGACCAAGTTATATTAAACTTACTTGCTAAAGTACACCATATATAGAGATTGTTCCTTAGCTCAGGAATATACCAGTGGGGCCGGGAGTGGGACTCTCCACTTTCTCCTCCTCCAGAGTATTTAAAATTAAAACAAGTGTAATCAAATGAATTTGATTTTTCAAGATTTTTCGTGTTTAATTCTAAATTAGAAGCAAACTGATTTCAATTTTGCAGCCATTGTTGATCTCAATTTTACCGTTTTCATGTTTAATTTTAAAAATGTACAGGGTTATGGTAGCGATAATGTTGGTGAAGCTTTCCCAGCAGTTGGTAGACATATGTACCATCATATATATATATTAAAACTTATAAGTGGCTCCAACCCAACTTACTCAATCCTTGCAAAACATGAGTGAACGTTCTGCATAATATTTTCTGCAACTTTGATGTGAATCTAATTTGCACAGTTACATTTTTTTTATAAAATACTACAAGTCTTCTAAGAATATACTTACTGCAAAGATAAAATAATTCGAATTTCAAATTCTGTGCATCAGTTATGAGACGTAGAGTATTTAACTAGGTATTGAATGGGTAATAGTGTAATGAACATTTGTCAGTGCTCAATAATAACCGACATGGAGACAGAAACTCAGAAGATTAATTGGTTTGTATATTTCAATCCCTTCCTGGGATCCTAGATTGTATATTACAGCTTGTTTTTGAAATGTATTGACAAGAACTTCAATTCTTGATAAAACAACAGAGTCAGCTTCTAACAGCCTTAATATAAGTGTGAAATATGAATATAACCTCGATAAAAGAAAACCAAAGGACTATGAAAAATTTATGAAATTACATAAGAAATGTTAGCTCATTTACTTGTCCACTCACTGTGACAGACTTATTACACACCAACCATATAAACTTTTGCCAAAGCATGTATGAAACTGTACTGTATCTAATATGTGTTCTCCTTTTTTTGCATAGCAAATGTTACTAGTAACGTATGTATTTATAGTTGTTTCAAGAATCATTTGATATTCATAATCTTAAATAGATTATATTAGTTTGTCAGAAACATTTGAGCAAATATTGTGATAAAGTAAAGCAAACAGTATGATGCAACAGAAGTACTTGGTTTCTGATTCAGTACAGTGCTACTAATTGTATTTTCTAGCGTGAAATTCCTAAAGTTTGTGCGCTGCTTATGGCTGTCGAAATATTTGTCAAAATTATAGTGCTGTCGTTGTCAGTTCAGAAAATTTAATAGCTAGTAGTTAACATATTCTATTAATTCCCTCTCATTATGTCATTTAATTTTTAGATATTTTCACAGTTAGAGCATCTTAGTATTTTTTGATACATTCAAATGAAGACTTTTCATTCTCTAATTATCTTTCTTCTACGCTTGCTTTTGTTCTCAGAATATTCTCTATGTTAAACCCTATAGTAAATTTTTATCTACTCTTTATTAATTTGTATAACATTATAGTGCTGTAGCAGTAAAGAGAAAAATAGTAATATATTTTTACGAAAGGCATTTACAAAATAAAGCCAAATGTTACTCATGCCTTTTGTGAAAAGTACCTCCCTAATACAGCATATATTATGGTCATAAACATTAAGGTTGCTTAATATATAGATATATTTTATGATGGTTGGGATAGGCTGCCACTCTTCCATGTAGCAGTTATTATTTACTACTCTATTTCTCTCATTATTTTCATTGAATGTGTGAAGCAGTGGAAATACTGATAAATATCAATTGGGAGGGACAGATATGTCTATTGTTAACATTTGCAAAGAGAGTTTCCTTGTACAGGAACAACTTTAAGTCTAGGTCTTGTAAAGCTAGTCTATGGGGTGCTCTATGATCCACTCAGGTTTAGCACTTTCTTGGGACTAATAATAATAGTATACTGGAATTGTTAGTGATCTTGTTGTTGTAAAGCTAAGTGTTAGTTTTAATAAAGTTATATTTTAAGAGATAAGCTATATTTTGACTCTAGTAAAACAATATTTTAACTTCTGAAAATTGTTTTGCATTAGAAAGAAGGGATATTTAATCTCTCATATTTTAATTCTGCAAATCAAAAGTCATATAAAAGCTGTTGTTAATTTCTCTTCAAGTTCGCAGAACAAATATATTCTGGCTATTTTTTTATATTGTACGCTGCATGTAGCAGGAAATCCTAGCCAGTAGAATACAATATTTTAGCATTTATAATTCAATGGTTTTGCTGTTGTGAAGCTACGTTATAAAATATCTAAACTACTGTATCATCTAGCTGTTGTTAACCTTCATAAATTGAAAAGAAAATGCATCAAAAATTTTCACATTGCACATAAAGTCTTAATGATTTCAAGACCCTTAGCAATCGAATAAGATAGCGGCAATATTCTGGAAGGAGCTAGTGTTGTGTTTGTTTTTTGGTGAGAACAAATTTTGCTGTTAGTAAGACAAAACAACGTTGTTTATAAGGTGGTGATGTGCAGTGAAAACTAAAATAATACAAAAGTTCTGCAATTTTTTTTTTTTTTTGTCTCTAGCCATTTGCCAAATTCTCGGATGTAATTGTATTTTATTCTGCATTCCAAGTGCTGATTAATTTTTTTTTATATTGATATGAACCTTAACTCAATACAAATTTAGAAGACTTTTCAAAACATTTTATTTTCTAAATTATGGTAGCTAAATGGAAAATTATGGTAATATGAGAACTCTAGACATACACTTAAAGAAACAAGTTACCTGTTGATTTTTCCATTGCTTCATGATACCTTATTTGGACAGTTTCTCATATTTTCACTGAAGACTTGGCTACAGGATAAGTGCTTAAATATTACAAGGTTAGATTGGCTCATTTTCATTTGTATACTTTTCAGCATATGCTTTTTATAGCTAAAAAGCTGCTAGCTTTTTTGGGTGAAGCCATGCCACTCTGCTTGCTGTCTGAGAGTGCTTCCAGTGGACAGCATTTCATCTGTCTTATCCTCATTTTGCCAGTCTCTTTCATTTCAACAGCATATCATGCAGGCTGATAATGTGCAGGAGATAAATCAATCATATATATATTTAAGCAACAGTAAAGATGTTAGAAACTTTGAGTTTTTAAAAATCTGCTAGTGTTTAAAGTGCCATTTTCCTGTGTTACCCACACTGAGGCATGATCTTTCCCAATGTTTGACAATGAATTGAGTGTTTAATAGCAAATTCCCTTAATGTATGTGACTGTATATTGCATTCAAATTTTGTTTTGTTTTTTATTAACCTCTGGAATGTTCATTTTATTTATTTTTAAACAATTTCGTCATATAGGCCTAAATGCTTCTTATTTGAGAAGTGTATTGTATGCATCTTTTGATGATTTACCCTAATTTCATAAGACAGTCATAGTTTTATCAATAATGATAATGCTGGGAACAACAGACAAATATTTGAATATATTCAAATAACTTTAATTTAATACTATGTAAAAAATGATAAAAAGAACCACCCCTAAAATTAAAGCACCCGATTTGTCCCTCTCATAAAGAATAAGCCATTACCACTAATAGTAAAGATGTAGAAACTTGTTGAATTATATGAATCTATTAAACATCACTATTCTCTCATGGATATTCTTTTTATGAAGACCAATATTTCTGGAGCATCTGAAATGTGCCTCAACTCTTTATATAATAGTCTCCTCATGATTCTTATCCTGTTGTGTCCTAATAATATTTTTCTCAATTCATTCATAAAATTCTTTTATATCTTAGCCCAGTTTAATTACAAAGAGTAAAATTGAAAATGTCCCAGGTGCTGTACTACTCCACATCGTTGTTCACTGCTGCGGGTCTGGAAGAATGGCAGTCAAAATATGCAACCCTTGGAGTGGGGTCGGTTATGGTCATCATGACACTAGTATCAATTCCACTCATGGACCGTGCTGGTCGACGGACACTTCACCTCTATGGTCTTGGTGGAATGTTTATCTTCTCAATCTTCATCACCATTAGTCTCCTCATCAAGGTATGTTAGTAAGAATTCAGTTTGAATTATGGTCAGTATCCTTTAATTGTATTTTTTTATTTTAAAAAATAACATTAAATGGTTATACAGAACTTTGGAGGTCATTTATAGTATTATTTCAGTAAAAGGAACATAATGAAGAATTAAGGTCTTTTATAATATGACTGAAACAGTTGGTAGTGGCCTCACCTCACACACTCGAGGACCAGGGTTTGATCCCTGGATAAATGAAAACATTGGGTGTGTTTCCTTTCACCTGCTTCCCCTATTTACCTAGAAGTAAGCAGGTATAACTGGGTGTTAGTCAACTGATGTGGGATGCATCCTGGACAGTTTGATATGGCTTCATTGACTTTTCCTATGTTACTAACCCCCTCCCCCCCAAGGTTAGTAATCTGAACAAAATAATTTTCCTCTTCGACTAACCCATGAACTAGGGATGAAAACAAGACAATGATTTGATTATTATGGACGTTTATGAAGTTAGTAGTGATTTCATAATAGTCCATGACACATAAAAGAAAGAGAAAATGGTTACCAACCATAGTTAGCAAGAGGCTTGTACATGTTACATGATGTAGAGGGACTCAACCTGCCTGTGAGTAAAGTTAAGGAGACATATTACACTTATCATTGCAAAAAGTAAGAGAATATATGACATTCTTGATAATCTTTAGCAATGCCTGGTGTATATATCACTGAACAGAAGAATATGAAGGAAGATGTGCAACACACGATCGCTTCACAGCCATCTCTACCAGGCACCTGTAGAGTGAACAGTAGTAAGTATGAGTGGCATTTATATTAAGAAGGTTTAGGGATTTAAATAAGGACATAGTGTGTTGTCTATAATGAGAGTTTGTAAGGCTTCTGATAGCGGTCTCTTGTGATTTGTGGTGGGTTGCCAGAGTGAATCTCTAGGCACAGATTCCATATATGAGGAATCTGTAAATCAGGGAAAAGTAAAGAGTATTGGTAGCATAGATTGGGAATTTAATAGTGAATTTTAGAGAGTATCACTACAATGTTTGATATCTTTGATATGTATTGGATTTCTTTTAATACACCAACCATCTCCACCAAGGTAATCTGATCCAAAAAAATAGAGGAAATACATTCACCATTATTTATTTTTTTTTTTTTTTTTTTTTTTTACCAGAAGTGTGCTGAAATCACGGTTTAGATGATACTCCAAACTGTAACATTCTCACTTCTCCTTTAAGGTGCAGGAACTGTACTTCCCACCTCCAGGACTCAAGTCCATGAGGTTTTGTTTATAAATTGTATATCAATGGAAATAAGTCACTCTGTCTGACTTTTTTGGGTTATCCTAGGTTCTCTACACATATGCTGCTATGTATGATAATTCTATGTAACTGTATTTGTGTATACCTGAATAAACTTACTTACTTACTTAGTTAGATCTTGTAGTCTCAACACATCTACCTTCTCTACTCAAGTTGATTTGTTTTCTGTTGGGTCTCTGTCCACTTCTCTCAGGTAGCATCAGATATAATGCTTGTCTGCATTTGTGTTTCATGTTCTGCATGTCTTCCTATGCAGGCAACCATTGTTAGGGTTTTCTTAGTTGTTTTGCTTATCTCTGGCTGCTCTGACTTTCCTTGGGCTCTCTACTGGTCCCTCTTTGGGGATGGGCTCAGACAAGCTTTGGGCCCAGGTTTTGGGCCCAACTTTGTTTTGTTAGGAGCAAGCAGCACTGGTAGTGTAATTGCTGAAACTGTCCCATGGTCATGCTGATCCCTCTCTCTTCTGTATTCTAGACTCTGTTGGCTGCTGGTTCACATCTCCAGACCCACACATACGCATCACGTTTGCTGTGGAAACTGATTCATTCCTTGACTTGCACCTCTGGACCACCCAGTCTCTGCTGGCCTCGCTCTCACTTTTGCTGGCTGTCCCTGCAAAACGACACCTACTCCCTTTCACTCTGCTTTGGAAGTTCAGTTTCCTAAGACTTTTGTCCTTGTTGTCATGTCCCTACATCGTCTTCCCTTCTCGCATGTCATCGTCTTTGGATTATTCTCCCTGCAAACTAGGACCCTGATGGGTGCTAGTGATGTAATTTCAACTTGACATGCAGTATCTCACAGCTGAAACTTGCATTTCGAATGCTGGAGAGTCCAGGGTTTCAACCTTTCCCCAGTTGTGATGTTTTGGCTGATTAGAAGTTCTCAGATGCACATAGTACACTTAGTACCTGCAAGAGGGGCTACTTTGGGACACAAATGAACAATAAGAACATATCAGAAAGACACTTTGAGAGTTCAAAATGCAGTATATATTAGTTTTTTCTTTTTACAGGAAATGATGTCATGGATGACCTTCATCTCTGTGATAAGCACTCTATGCTTTGTCATCTTCTTCTCTGTTGGTCCTGGAAGTATTCCTTGGATGATTACAGCTGAGCTGTTCTCCCAGGGCCCACGGCCGGCTGCCATGTCCATCGCTGTTTTAGTCAACTGGCTTTCTAATTTCATCGTTGGCATTGGTTTTCCAAAAATGCAGGTAAAGGAGCAGAGAATTCAGTATAAACTAATGCAACTTTTTAGGAGTTGAATTGATTTTATAGGAATGTGAAGTATATCAAGCAGAAGCAGTATTATTGTTAAACAACATTTTGTCCTAAATATGGCTTTATCTGGTCTTATAATAAGTCTCAGTTTAGGGGTAAACATTCTAGTACAAGGTTCACTCTGCTCTGTGAGTTTGACATTACCATAATTTCTTGGCTACTTGCAGTGCATTACATAATTTAATCACATTTAACCCTTAAACGGTCCAAACGTATATATACATTTTTTCAATATTTGAAAGTATGTAAAAAAATGTACATCTTTTATTTTTTTACATTTGAAAATGTGTAAAAAAAACTTTCATCTACATTTTTTTTTTTGTTATATTTGAAAATGTGTAAAAAAAAAACATAGATCTAGTTTTGGAGCACTACGGATTTGAACGTCGACCTATCTGGACTGTTTAAGGGTTAAATCTAATCAAGAAAAATAAAGGCCATAATACTGTGGCTGGAACAATTCACAAATAATCCTTTTATTAAGATGGAAGTTAAGATGATGTTTCAAAGTAACCTGGGCCATTATGAAGTTGCATGTATATTTTAGCTTCAAATATACATAATATTAGAACTAGTTTTTACAAAAGATGAAAGGTTATATGATGTTTTATTATGTTTCATTTATATTAGGACCTTAATTATTATTCTGCATTTATATTAGCACACAGAAATTATTGTTTTTTATATTTACACATTGGCCGTTTCCCACCAAAGTAGGGTGGCCCAAAAAAGAAAAACTTTTACCACCATTCATTCCATCACTGTTTTGCCAGAGGCGTGCTTGCACTACAGTTATAAAACTGCAACATTAACGCCCCTCCTTCAGAGTGCAGGCACTGTACTTCCCATCTCCAGGACTCAAATCCGGCCTGCCGGCTTCCCTGAATCTCTTCATAAACATTACCCTGCTCACACTCCAACAGCACATCAAGTTCTAAAAGCCATTTGTACCCATTTGCTCCTATCTACATGCTCACAATTGCTTGTTGGAAGGCCAAGCCCCTTGCACAAAAAACCTCCTTTACCCCCTCCCTCTATCCTTTCCTAGGCCAACCTCTACCCCTCCTTCCCTCCACTACAGATTTGTACACTCTTGAGGTCATTCTATTATTAGTACAAAAAGAATACTAGTACTGAGCATAAAATGTAATTCAACAGAGTGTAGTTAGAAATGACAGTAGTTATTAATATGGTATTTAATCTGTTTTCTCAGGAAGCATTTGAAAACTACACGTTTTTGCCGTTTAGCGTTTTATTAGCGTGCTTCTGGGTGTTTACGTATTACAAAGTTCCGGAGACAAAGAATAAGACATTTGAAGAAATCTCGGCAATCTTCCAAAGAGGGGTTGATAGGTAAGCTGCGTTTTGTTAGTGTTATTTTGTAGAATATAAGACAGAATTAACAAGATTTTTGAAGGATTTTGAAAAGTCATGTAAACAAAAAACTAATTCTAGCATTTATGTCAGAATGAGTAAGAAATTGTAGATTATTTCTTTTTTCAACACACCGGCTGTCTCCCACCAAGGCAGGGTGACCTGAAAAAAGAAAACTAAAGTTTTTCTTCTTTTTTACATTTAGTAATAGTTTTATTAAGTGATTTTTAAATTACAAAACACTTTTAAAAAGAGCATAAACATTTATTTTGGTGTTATAATAATTACTTATGCAGTTTCATGTATCTTTGTAATCTACTGGTCAGCTCATTCTTTCCTCTGCATGTTCTGAACGTGTGTATACATTGCTACATTAACACTAGTTCTGTCAGTGAAGACACTGCATGAAAAGGCACCATCAAAGCACCAAACTGTTGACAAAAAGTTTTGTAGTAAACAAATCAATTTGTAGAATACAAATTGGGTTGTTGCTCAGACATAACAATCATTATAAAACATTTGTGGCAATTGTGTGTGTTAATATATTCAGTTATAGACTCAGCAGTGGCGAATTATTCCTTATACTAATTAAATATAGTAGGTTGGTAGACAGCAACTTCCCAGGGAGGTACTACCGTCCTGCCAAGTGAGTGTAAAACAGAAGCCTGTACTTGTTTTACATGTTAGATACCTGGAGATACCTGGAGAGAGTTCCGGGGGTCAACGCCCCCGCGGCCCGGTCTGTGACCAGGCCTCCTTAGGTCAGTGTCCCAGGATGCGACCCACACCAGTCGACTAACACCCAGGTACCCATTTTACTGATGGGGAACATAGACAACAGGTGGAAAGAAACACACCCAATGTTTCTACTCTGGCTGGGAATCGAACCCAGGCCCTCGCCGTGTGAAGCGAGAGCGTTAACCACCACTGGTGTCTTTTCTCTGTTTCATAAACACACAAGATTTCAGGTATGTCTTACTACTTCCACTTAGGTCACACTACACTTGCATGTACAAGCATGTATATACACACATCCCTCTGGGTTTTCTTCTATTTTCTTACTAGTTCTTGTTCTTGTTTATTTCCTCTTATCTCCATGAGGAAGTGGAACAGAATTCTTCCTCCGTAAGCCATGCTTGTTATAAGAGGCAACTAAAATGCCGGGGGCAAGGGGCTAGTAACCCCTTCTCCTGTATAAATTACTAAATTTAAAAAGAGAAACTTTCGTTTTTCTTTTTGGGCCACCCTGCCTCGGTGGGATACAGCAAGTTTATTGAAAGAAGAAGAATTAAATATAGTAGGTAGTAGGTTGGTAGACAGCAACCACCCTGGGGGGTGCTACTGTACTGCCAAGCGAGTGTAAAACAGAAGCCTGTATTTGTTTTACATGATGGTAGGATTGCTGATGTCTTTTTTTCTGTCTCATAATCATGCAAGATTTCAGGTATGTCTTACTACTTCTACTTATACTTAAGTCACACTACACATGCATGTCCACATTTATGTACACACACTCGTCTAAGTTTTCTTTGATTTTATCTTAATAGTTCTTGTTCTTATTACTTTTCCTTTCATATCCATAGGGAAATGGAATAAGAATCTTTCCTCCATAAGCCATGCGTGTTGTAAAAGTCAACTAAAATGCCAGGACCAATGGGCTAGTAACACCTTTTTCCATATAGCCTATTAAAATGAAAAAGAAGAAAACCGTCAAAGTGGGATGCTTGAATGTGCGTAGTTGTAGTACAAATGATAAAAAAGAGATGATTGTGGATGTTATGAATGGAAAGCTGGATGTCCTGGCTCTAAGTGAAACAAAGCTAAAGGGGGGTAGGAGAGTTTCAGTGGGGAGAAATAAATGGGATTAGGTCAGGGGTTTCTAATAGACTTAGAGCTAAGGAAGGAGTAATAATAATGTTGAAGGATAAGTCATGGCAGGAAAAGAAGGAATATAAATGTATAAATTCAAGGATTATGTGGAGTTAAATAAGGGTTGGATGTGAAAAGTGGGTTATAGTAAGTGTTTATGCACCTGGAGAAGAGAGAAGTGTAGAGGAGAGAGAGAGAGAGAGAAATTTGGGGAAATGTTGAGTGAATGCGTGGGGAGTTTTGAACTAAGTGAGAGAGCACTTATGGTTGGGGATCTCAGTGCTAAAGTGGGTACAAATGTTGTAGAGGGAGTAGTAGATAAATTTGGGGTGCCAGGGGGAAATGAAAATGGGGAGCTTTAATTGAACTGTGTGTAGAAAGAGGTTTGGTAATAAGTAATACATATTTTATAAAAAAAAGGAAAAATAAGTGTACAAGATATGATGTAGCACATAATGAAAGTAGTTTGCTCGATTATGTATTGGTGGATAAAAGGTTGATGGGTAGGCTTCAGGATGTACATGTTTATAGAGGGACAATGGATATATCAGATCATTATATAGTTGTAGCTACAGTTAGAGTAAGAAGTAGATGGGACAAAAGGAAAATGGCAGTAGTAAGTAAGAGAGAGGTGAAAGTTTATAAACTAAGGGAGGAGGAAGTTCGGGTGAGATACAAGCAGCTATTTGCAGAAAGGTGGGCTAGTGCAAGTATTGGTAGTGGGGGGGGGGGGGTTGAAGAGGGTTGGAATAGTTTTAAAAATGCAGTATTAGAATGTAGGGCAGAAGTTTGTTGCTGTAAGAGGGTGGGTGCAGGAGGAAAGAGAAGTGATTGGTGGAATGAGGAGGTAAAGGGTGTGATGAAAGAGAAAAAGGTAGCTTATGAGAGGTTTTTACAAAGCAGAAGTGATATAAGAAGGGCAGAGTATATGGAGAGAAAAAGAAAGGTGAAGAGGGTGCAATAGGAGAGCAGATGATAGAGTAGGAGAGGCACTGTCAAGAAATTTTGCTAAGAATAAGAAAAAATTTTGGACTGAAATAAGCAAGTTAAGAAAGCCTAGGGGACGAATGGATTTGTCAGTTAAAAACAGAGTAGGGGAGTTAGTAGATGGGGAGCTGGAAGTATTGGGTAGATGGCAGGAATATTTTGAGGAACTTTTAAATGTCAAAGAAGGGGAGGTGGTAATTTCATGCACTAAAACCAACCATACCCTGGCTGGGATTGAACCCGCGGTCATAGTCTCAAAACTCCAGCCCGTCGCGTTAGCCACTAGACCAGCTAGTCACAATAAGATTCGTCCAACTATGTATATTTCTACACCATAGGAAGGTTAGCACAGGCACCACTGTGACCACAAATGCAAGTTTTTACAGACGAATCTCCAGCTAGAGTGGCCGTGACAAACTCTAGCTCAAGTCCCTTCACTGCCATCAACATGACTCACGAAATCGTAATCAGGGAGGTATAACACCTTTTAAGAGTGAAGAAGAGCAGGATGTGAGTGTGGGGGAGGTGCACGAGGCATTACATAGAATGAAAGGGAGTAAGGCAGCTGGAACTGATGGGATCATGACAGAAATGTTAAAAGCAGAGGGGGGGGGGGATATAGTGTTGGAGTGGTTGGTATTTTTGTTTAATAAATATATGAAAGAGGGGAAGGTACCTAGGGATTGGCAGAGAGCATGTATAATTCCTTTATATAAAGGGAAGGGGGACAAAAGAGATTGTAAAAATTATAGGGGAATAAGTTTACTGAGTATACCAAGTAAAGTATACCTATTAAAGCCATATAGCATTACCTATTATTACTCAGTTCTCTTGTACTCACTGTAACTCACCTAATGACCATTTAGTCTGTTATAGCCTAATTAATCTTAAGTTAATTTTAAGTTTGCCCAAAATGCTCTGCATACAAGGGGCTTTTGGCATGTACACTCAACTATTACATATATTCCTTTGTACAGCTATGTATCATGTCAAAATAAATTATTATTAGCATTATTATTATTATTATTATTATTATTATTATTATTATTATTATTATTATTATTATTATTATTATTATTATTATTATTATTATTATTATTATTATTAAGTGTATGGTAGGGTTATTATTGAAAGAATTAGAGGTAAGACAGAGAGCAGGCTTGCAGATGAGCAAAGAGGCTTTAGAATGGGTAGGGGATGTGTAGATCAGGTGTTTACATTGAAGCATATATGTGAACAGTATTTAGATAAAGGTAGAGAAGCTTTCATTGCTTTCATGGAATTAGAAAAGGCATATGATAGTGGTTAAAGGAGTAATGTGGCAGATGTTACAAGTGTGTGGAATAGGTAGTAAGTTACTAAATGTCATATCTAAGGGCAATATGTGGTGTAAATATTATGCAGAGAATTCATAGTGGGGAAATTTAGGAGGAGGTGTGGAGATACTAAAAGTATTAGTCAGAGGGTTGAAGAGGGGCTGTTGAAGTGGTTTGGTCATTTAGAGAGAATGGAACAAAGTAGAATGACTTGGAGGGCATATAAATCTGTTTGGGAAGGAAGGCAGGGTAGGGGTTGTTCCCAAAAAGGTTGGAGGGAGGGGGTAAAGGAGATTTTGTGGGTGAGGGACTTGGACTTCCAGCTAGCATGCGTGAGCATGTTAGATAGGCATGAATGGAGATGAATAGTTTTTGGGACCTGATGAGCTGTTGGGGTGTGAGCAGGGTAATATTTTGTGAAGGGATTCAGGGAAACCAGTAGCTGGACTTGAGTCCTGGAAATGGGAAGTACAGTTCCTGCACTTTAGGGAAGGGGTTTGGGATATTGGCAGTTTGGAGGGATGTCTAAACAGTTGTATCAGAGCACCTTTGCAATGATAGTGATTTTGTATGAGTGATGGTGGAAGTGTTGAATGATGATGAAAGTTTTTTTTCTTTTTAGGTTTTTTCTTTGGGTCACCCTGCCTTGGTGGGAAACAGCCAACATGTTAAAAAAAAAAAATTAAATATGCCACTTTGTTATTATTAATTTAATATATTAACCCTTTGAGGGTTCGTGCCATAGATCTACGGCTTTACATAGATGGTCCAAACCATAGATCTACGCCATGAGCTCAGCTCACTCTGATAAGCTGTGAGTGGTAAATTTGGGCCTAGACATGAGAGAATACATCTATGTGGTATGTGTGCACCACATAAAACAAATCGTGCAGCACACAGTGCATAATGAGAGAGAAAAAACTGAGACCGTAATTTTCGATTAAAACAGCGACTTTGCAGTGTTTTCTGTATGTTTTTTATAGTTGTATTTGTGATTTCTTGGTCTCATTTGATAGAATGGAAGATATATTATAGAAATAGAGATGATTTTGATTGGTTTTAGTACTGGAAATGGCTTGAAACTGAGCTCAAAGTAGCAGAAATGTTAAATTTTTGCTGATGTTCAAGAGTAAACAAACGACCTCACACGTCTAATACACACCAGCTGGTGGGTCTAATATGCATTCACAAATATGGTGATGATATTTATACAATTATTACAGTATTTCATAACAGTAAATCTTCTATATTTTGGTTTGAATAAAAATTCATTATGTAAATAAAAAATCAAAATGGAATTCATTTGTAAAGCCTGAAAACATAACTAATGAACAGAGGAAATGTTAGTTTAGTGCCAGGAATGCCTGCATTGTTTATTCTGGATCCTGTTTTGAAATTGGAATATTTTGAACTTTGCATTAAATTGGCCAAATTACCAATTTCCGATCACTTTATTTTGTAGTTGAAACAGTTGACTTGGCGATTTCTTGTGCTCAGTCGATAGAATAGAAGTAATACTAGTGAAATAGCTAAGAATTTGGTTGACTGAAATAATGTAATTGGCCTAAAATGGGAGTCAAAGTTGGCAAAATCGCTGATGCATATATATCGCTGACACATCAAAATTTGCTAGAGCATAATTTCGTCAATTTTCCATCAAATTTCGTACTTTTTGTTTTATTTCCTTCAGAAAAAGATTCTCTACCATTTCATAAAAAATAACAAAATTATTTTTTGAAAATTCTTGGACTTTGGTGCACACTTTGAAATTTGGCCTTGAACCCTGAAAGTGTTAATGCTTATTCTTATGGCCTTGTGAGGGCCAGAGAGATGCTTGTAAATACATGGTTGTCTGCATTCAAGAATTATACAAAGTTTTATTATGTCTCATTATTTAGCTAGTTTGTAAACAATAAATGTTGACCTGGGGGCATTATATTAAAATATACTTGTGGATATCTCAGAATTTGAGGGTAGGGAGTGTATATGTTTGCAAGTCTTATGAATGTACTGTAGTGAACCCTCAGTTTTCACAATAATTTTCTCCCTTCATGCCGCACAGGGAATACCTGGATGACCCCAGACTGTACGGGTAAGTGGCAATTATTTCCATGCGCGCTAGTCCCGGAGCGCTACACGATGTCACCTGCCATTCAGGCAATTGAGTTTTTTTTTTCTTTTTTTTCTTTTTTTCTTTTTTTTTTTTTGGGTCTATTTAGGAACATGTATGGCAACTGTAACTATTTTTGTCTTGTAAATTTGATGAGATTATTGGTAGAGAGAGTAAAGAAGAGTAGGAGTCCCCATGTGTGGCACTCTGAAGCACACTTGGCTCATGAGCCTTTACTTTATTTGCAGTAACTTCCATGCTGTCACGAGCAGCAATCACCTGTAAGTACTCTTGTTGGGTTATCCCCACCCACTTGTCAGTGTCCCGTCGTGGCGCGCTCCCTTACTAGCCACCGCCTCCTTTACTGGGGTTCCCGATATTGCTCAGTTCACTGTTAATACACGAGTGATAACAAAAATACATCACAGTTTAAAAGCCAAGCATTATAGTATTGGATGTGCAGCTTGTATCATTGTTATAATGTTGGTAGAATTACCGACAGTATGCCAGATAAAAGGACACGTGCAACTAGTGTGACATTTTATTGTGGCAACGTTTCACTCTCCAGGAGCTCTGTCAAGCTATTATGGCTTAACAAAGCTCCTGGAGAGCAGAATGTTGGCCACAATAAAATGCTGCAATAGTTGCACACTTGTCCTTTTACCTAACAGCTTGTATTATGTATTTTAGAAGAATACTTTAACATAACTAAATCATTAAACAAAGTTCAAATCAATATAAATATTTGTACTGTATTCTGAGTTTGTAGTAGTAGCTTCTGTTGCTTTAATATCATTTGCAGAAAATATAGTAAGAAAAAATATAGTGCTCCTTCAGCTTCCATGAGCATATGTAAAGGAAGAATAACATGGATGGTGAGTTTTTACATGCTGAATTTTGTTTCACTGGGAAAAAGGGAAAAGCATTCCCATACTCAGTTGTAATATTATTTTAATGTACAATATTTTGGGTTAGTTCTATTACAAATGCATCATATAACAAACTAATTTTTGCATAAAGTGTATTGACACATGTAAGTAGCTGTTCAATTACTTGTTATCATAGGATAACTTAGCTCTTGTGCTAGGGTATCAGATTGGTCAAACAGATAACACCAGTAACATAAATAAAAATAAAGATAACAGGGCATTATCTATTGTGGTTGCACTAGACAACTCAGAGTGAGAGTAAAAGACAAAGGAGCTGGATATTAAAAATAAACTATGATAACACTGTAATTAGGAATAAATGGTTAGAATCACAGCCATAATTTTTAAAGGGGTAGACCAGTGGAAGGCCTCAGTCAGATGACCAAAATCTCCAGCTGCAGTTCATCATGTGACTAAGACATACATCAGGATGTACTTTTCCTGTTTTCTGACAAACCTTACCTAACCTAAAGAACAACAAGGCACAGTACTGTGACCTAACCTAACCTGTCTATAACAATTCATTACACACAATGCAAAAAAAAAAAAAAAAAAAAACTAATAACTGGCCATGCAAATACAGGTACTCCTCGACTTACAGTGGATTTATATTCTGACAAACTCACTGTAATTCAAAAATATTGTAAGTTGAATATGATATGCTAAATAAATAAGTAAACAAGTAACTACTGTCACTGAATAAATAAATAAATAATTACTGTAACTAACTAAACACCACTATTGAAAAGTACAAAAATGAACACAAGTTAGGGACTTGCTGCCTTCATGCTGGCCAATATTGTTAGTTTCATCTCCAAAGTAATTGCTTGTGCACCATTGTAAAGTCGAAATATTGTAAGTCAAACCATCGTAAGTCGAGGAGCACCTGTGTATATCGTGCCTGAAAACCCTTGAATATAAACTCTTGAACCCAATACATACCCAAGATATCCTGTACATGATTGAAGCGGAAAATGGAAAAAAAAAAAGAGCTATGCTGCTAGTTTCAAAACGAGCAACCAACCCTGGGCTAGCCCCCACAGAAACAACATTTCTTCATAAAGCGCCCTCCAGTTTCTGACTGCAAAATTGAAATGTGGTTTCAACAGATTTTTAAATCATGAGGCCTGGTAATGGATCAGGCCAAGGGGGCATTGACCCCCAGAACACCCTCCAGGTATACACCAAGTATAGCCTCACTGTTACCTTATAACAACCAAAACATGACTTTTACTATGAGGCAGAATAACAAAACTTAATAATAATTATAATAATCTTTATAATAATCGTTATTTCTACAAGTACATGTACAAGGTATACAGACCATAACTGACATCAGTGACATACTACTACAGAGTCTCCCCTACTTACGAACAGGTTCGGTTCCGAGCAGTCGTTCGTAAGTCCATTTGTTCGTAAGTCCAACGTATGTACGTATACAGTATTGTACAGTAGAGTAGTATGTACGTATGAACATGGAGTAACCTAGAAGTGTACATAGTTTAAACATATACGTGAACACAAGAAAAATACAAAAATACATTATTATGTCCACTTTTGGCACTTCTTAGCACTACCACCTGCATCACCACTACTGCTGTGCTTAACACCAGACTTATTGGGGGTATAATAATCACAGATAACACTGAATTTGTGGAGAGAGCACAAGCACATGTATGAACGATGCCGCTAGAGCAATCTACTATGTATTGTTTACATCTCAGCGCTTCCCGCAAATTGTTTGTATTATTGAAAGTTTACAACATGAATGTTTGTATATAGGGGAATCTCTGTATATAGAAAGCCCTTTGTTATACAGAGCATTTTGGGCAAATGAGGTTATTATTATTATTATTTTTATTATTATTATTATTATTATTATTATTATTATTATTATTATTATATTATTATTATTATTATTATTATTATTATTATTAATGTTATCCTCAGGATGTGATCCACACCAGTCGACTAATACCCGGGTACCTATTTTACTGTTAGGTGAACAGGGACAGCAGGTGTCTTAGGGAAACACCCGTACTGGGGATCAAACCATGGACCTCAGTGATGTCAGCTAACATTTGAAAGATGTGTGGGAGATCACATCTCTGCCTCATTGAACAAACAACAATAATCTTGTGTCTGACCTTTTAACCCTTTGACTGTCGCGGCCGTATATATACGTCTTACGAGGTACCGTGTTTGACATATATATACTCATAAATTCTAGCGGCTTCAAATCAAGCAGGAGAAAGCTGGTAGGCCCACATGTGAGAGAATGGGTCGGTGTGATCAGTGTGCACCATATAAAAAAAATCCTGGAGCACGCAGTGCATAATGAGAAAAAAAAAACTCTGACAGATTTTTTTATTTAAGATGCCGACTTTGTGGTCTATTTTCGTATAGTATTTATGATTGTATTCTCGTTTTCTTGGTATCATTTGATAGAATTGAAAACATATTATAGAAATAAAGGTGATTTTGATTGATTTTACTATAAAAAGAACCTAGAAATGGAGCTCAAAGTAGGGGAAATGTTTGATTTTTGCCAATGTTCAAAAGTAAACAAATGATGCCATTGTCCAATAAATGTCCAACTAGCCATTCTAATATGCAGTCATGAATGGGTTGATGTTATTTATACAATTATTACAGTATTGCAGTAGTCTGCATAATAGTAAGTCTTCTATTTTTTGTTTGATTAAAAATTAAAAATAGAAAGCAAGAGTAATATCAGAGGGCCTGGAAACATGACTGATGAGCAAAGAAAATGTTATTTTAGAGCCAGGAATGTCTGCATTGTTCATTCTGGACCTTATTTTGAAATTGTCATATTTTTTAGTTTTCGTAAAATTGGCCAAATTGCAAATTTCTGACCACATTATTAGGTAGTTGACATCGGTAAATGGGCAGTTTCTTGTACTCAATCAATAGAAAAAATGGAGTTCTAAAGAAATAGCTATGAGTTTGGGCGACTGGAATAATGGAATTAGCCGAAAATAGGGCTCAAAGTGGGCGAAATCGCCGATTTGTAAACAGCGCCGAGGTCGCTAACTTTGCGAGAGCATAATTCCGTCAGTTTTCCATCAAATTTCGTTTTTTTGGTGTCATTACAATCAGGAAAAGATTCTCTGTCATTTCATAAGAAAAAATAATATATTTTTTTTTTTAAATTTTGCGACACCAGGAGACACCTCAGGATTGGGGGTTGCGACAGTCAAAGGGTTAAATAAAATAGATACTCTGTTATTTAACCCAAAATGAGAACCCTTGATTAAACAAACCGTTGGTGTATACACAAACTGGTGGTAAAAAAGGCACAATACTGTGACTGATATTCTGCCTTGTGTATTTGTTCCTTATTTATTTATTTATTTATTTATTTATTTATTTATTTATTTATTTATTTATTTATTCCCCCCTCTGTGTTGTTGCTCTTACCCTCTATGGGCACCTAGCTCCTTTGCAGTGCTCCTCTTTCTTAGTATTTGACTGGCTCCTCCTCCTCCTTACTACCTCCCCCACTACTACTACTACCTTCTACCTCCACTGCTGCTTCTGCTGCCTCCGCCGCCGCCGCCACCGCCGCCTCCTCCGCCTCCTCCTCCTGCCTATATATACGCCTCCTCTCTCCTTTTCATTAGTGTAACTTTGTAATTGGTCCAAGTCAGACCGAAACGTTGTTGTAAGCTCCTCTCTTCTATGTGCAGGTTATTTGTGAAACTGGTGGTGTTACATAAACTGGTGGTGTATACATGAATTGATGTGTATACAAACTTAATACTAATTGATACTGTACTTAGAGAATTGCAAGGAATCACACTGAATTACACTGTTTAGTCAGGGTAGATATTTATTGACCATATCAGTTATCACTTTTAGATTGATCAAATCTGATGAAACTTGATAATGAACATTGTTCCCACACTGTCCTCTTACTCCACACTGGTAATGTTACCTGTACTAACACACAAATAAAAACAGTCACAACTGCTAATCATAAAAATCCAATATTAACCCCTTGACTGTCGCAACCCCCAATCCTGAGGTGTCTCCTGGTGTCGCAAAATTTAAAAAAAACAATAATAATTTTTTCTTATGAAATGATAGAATCTTTTCCCGATTGTAATGACACCAAAAAAACGAAATTTGATGGAAAACTGACGGAATTATGCTCTCGCGAAGTTAGCGACCTCGGCGATATTTACAAATCGGTGATTTCACCCACTTTGAGCCCTATTTTTGGCTAATTCTGTTGTTCCAGTCGCCCAAACTCATAGCTATTTCTTTAGAACTCCATTTTTTTATCGATTGAGTACAAGAAACTGCCCATTTACCAATTTCAACTACCT